GATCAGATCAAGTCCACCAGTCCACTTTAATTCCATCCAGCTGCAATTTTCAGTCCGGTATCTTGGCTTTTTCTTAGACCGAAGACTAAAGTAGAACCCTCATACTAGACTTAGAAGACAAGACTTAACAGACGATGTGGCCAACTTTACAGACTACTGACGAGAAAATCTCAATTGATCTATAAGACAATCCTAAAACCAATTTGGACTGGAGCTTTGGGAGACAGCAAAATTTTGTAACACCAATCGCATCCAATCCTTTCAGTCCTAAGTCCTACGAACGATAATCGATGCTCCGTTTTATGTTATCAGCAAAACCCTACACCATGACATCAACATTCCATTTGTCCTAGACCTCATCCCACAACATTTTTTAAAATTTCACCAGAACCTAAGGCACAATCCAATAATCTAAGATTAAAACGGCAGTGGCCCCGCGACTTTTTGTAGTATATACCTTGGAGTTCTGGCAATGACCAGAATCTCCACTCAAGACATGAATGTATGTGACTAAAGCACTCTTGCTCAATTTCCACTTTAACCAGTGTCGTGGTAGAGAGAGTAGATCGGGGATCCTTAGAGTCCTACTTTTCCCGCTATAGTCGGAGGGACTAGCGTGGCTGGGAGTTTTCTGCATGAATATGTATATTGTATATAGGTGTATATACTGCATATATATATATATATATATATATATATATATATATATATATATATACACATTTATTATTATATCGAAATTTGAACTGTCACTTATTTTCCAATCCTTATTCGTTATTATATTAATGACAAATTATAATAAACACCATGAGACAAGAAGTATAATTTGTTCAATTCACCACGGTATTTCACGGGTATGGTCACAACCCGTAGTAAGAGGTCAACTCTGTAGGGTGGAATGCTGGAAGATCCTTCCGACCGAGCTAGCATGATAGAATAAATGATTAATCATGGGTAAGTAACTTATATAATCTATTATTATCTCGTTAGAAATGAAAGGCTAGTAAAGCCAGGCGCCCAACAACTAAAGATTCCAACAGAAAATTATATTCATTAAAAATTGTTTTATTATTTTATCCTTTTTTGGTCATAATATATAGTGGCATCTGAATACACAGCACGTAGGGATCTGGCTCCTGCCTTGTGGAAGCTAGTCTTAGATGAGGTGCTGGAGAAGCTCGGAGAGGAGCAGTTCCCTGCCACGGCCTACGTTGACGATTTGGCCGCCGTGGTGGCCTCAAACAGCATAGTCGGTATGAAAGCAGAAGCTGAACGATACGCCAGTTTGGTAGGAAGATGGTGCGAGAGGAAGAAGTCGAAGATGGCTGCAACAATGACCCAGGCAATTCCTTTGAGGGGCACGACTGACAGGGCACATCATATTATATTGAGTGTAGAAAAAGAAAGAGTATGTTCAAGTGAGGTTGTCACCTACCTATAGCATGAAAATTTGTCGAAAGTTCAGCGTGACTCCTTACCTGGACTATATGAGAATTACAATCACAGTGGCTCTAAATGGACTCAGTCGTGTCGGAGGCGCCTACTGGAGTCTCAGATACCCAGCTACAATAACTATATACAAAGGAGTAGTTTTGGGTATTCTGAGATATGCGTCCCCAGCCTGGAACCTAAACCTCTCGCACCGACAGAAGAATAGGCTAGTATCGATTCAGAGATTGACTTTACGACGGGTCACTAGAGCCTATAGAACGGTATTTCATGAGGCAGTGCAAGTACTGGCAGAGAGTACACCTCTCAATCTCCTCCTGCGAGAAGATTATTACCACTTTAAAATGAAAAGAGAAGGTTCGGCGGATCTACCGGAATATCTAAAGATGAGAATTGAAGAAGACCCATGAAGATGGAAAAGAATTATCAGAGAGGACACAGTTGATCAATGGAACCGCCGATGGATGGCAACTCCAAAGGGGGGTACCCTAAGAAAGTACTTCCCCACGGTCAAGTCTCGACTAGATGCAAGATAGGTCCTCCCGGATTACTAGGTGTCTCAACTCCTCACGGGACGGGGGGGCTTTCATGGGGGATATAAGGGTTAAACACGGGAAGAATATTGATCCGCTATGCCCCAACTACAACGTTCCGAAGACCGCCGAACATGTAGTCGTCGAATGCACTGCCTATGACGCACTAAGAGCTAAGCTTCTGAGAGAGACGGGTATATAGGCGCTGACAGAAGGCAAGTTCCCCCAGCTAATGAACAGAGAGAATTACCCAAATTATAGGGAATTCGTATACGGGTGGGAAAATGCTGTAGGCTCTACACATTTTAATTTGGGAAGAAGAGAAGGAAGTTAAGACAAGCTGCAGCTGCTTCGAGGGCCGGCTTCAGGTGGAAGAATGGAAAGTATGAAAAGCGTGGGCTTGTGTACACAAACAAGTCTACACCTCCTAAATAATAATGTTAACAAAATTTTAATTAAACATACCTATACTGCCAGCAGTGGCATACGCATACTGTGTAAAACCCTACTGCTACTACAACCCGTATTGCCTGCAAGACCAAACAAAATAAGCTCCCGTTTCACACAGATAAGGGCCTGGAATCGGAAGTGGCAATGCCTTATGGAGGTTCATGCAAAGTGATTTTGATTCGAGAACACAACATCGAAACGATCCAAAGTATTGAAATACCCAGTAAACAAAGTATGGTTCACATTGAACAATTGAAATTCTCTGTGAGAGAGCCCGAGCAAGAACGGTAAGACTGGAGTATCCTCGTCTCCCGTCATACAAAGGATTGTTCTCGTTTTGTTTTTGTTATTTATTTTTTCCTACCAAAACAGCTAGGTACGTGATTTTGTTTTGAAGTGAAAGTTCTATGGTTAGATGAAAGTATTAATGTTAAAGTTTATGGAGAATACCCGTTGGAAGGGAGGAGTTAGATTTGCAGCATTATAATACGAGGCTTAACCTCATACGTGAATTTTAAACAATACTTTTAAAAATATGGAAAAAGCATTATAGTGGAAAAATTAAAATAGTTGTTTTTACATAAGTGTCTTAAGAGTCAATTCGTCTTCCTATTTCGTTATTTAAATTTATATTTGATAGAACAGCTGTTGATGTTAAACAACGATAAAGGTTAATTTGCTTTTGTCTCTTCTAAAAAGTGATAATTTAGTATAAATACTTATTTCTTGTGTAGCAAAAGTGTTTTTTGAAGACAATAGAGCTTAAGACAAAAAACAAAACAAAGGTTGAGCTGATTTCACCGCCAACGATGGTGAAACGGTCACAACACGAGGAGGTAAGCAATATGACCTTAGCAAATAGTGACACAAACAGTGACGTAGGCTCCTGGGAGCTGGTTATTGGTCGTAAAAGATCTATATCAGATTCAAGCGAGCCAAGAGCACAAAAACGACCAGCAGAACCTATTCCAAACTCTAACAGTTTTGAGGTTCTAACCAAGATTAACTCGCAAACTGAAGTAACAAGACAATCGCCTCAAAATGATAAAACCCCACCAATTTTTATAAACGGTGTGGAGAATTATCATGCTTTCATTCATAGAAAATGAAGCTGGTCCTAATACATTCAAGACGAAATCAATATTAAAAGGAGTCACTGTTTACCCACAAACACCTGATATATATCGCAAATTAAATTCAAGCCTACGAAATAAAGGCGCGGACTTTCACACCTACCAACAACCACAGGACAGGTGCCCAAGAGTTGCTGTTAAATATCTCCATCATGGAACACAAGTCGAGATTATCGGAGAAGAATTTAAAAATATGGGCTATGAAGTAAAAAATGTGGTTAACGTAATATCTCGATTTAAAAAACCTCTTCCTATGTTTTTCGTAGACGTTACAAAAGAGACATTCAGAGAAGATGTTTTTAAAATTGAGTTTTTATATTACTCTCACATTAAAATCGAGGAACCACGTCAAAAGCGAAGTATTCCTCAGTGTGTTCGGTGTCAGCAATATGGGCACAATAAAACATATTAAAATCATCGACCACGCTGTGTGAAGTGCGGCGAATATCACGAAAGCAGTTCATGTTTAAAAATTAGGGAGACTCCAACTAAGTGCGCCAATTGTAGTGGTCAGCACCCGGCTAACTAAAGAGGCTGCCAGACGCTGAAAGATCTCAGGGTTAGGAGTGGTTAAATAAGAGTAAATGGCCTTCTATTCTGAAATTGATGTTTTCTCTGTCCGATAGCTCACTTTTGAAGCAAGCGACAGTTGAAATCTATATAATTGCATAGTCAACTCTAAAATTCTTAATCAGCACCTCAAAAAACATAAGAGTAAATTATGAGAAATTCTCCAGAACTTTCTCCTGAAAACCCTTCCTTGTTAGCACAGGCGGATTAACGGGGGGGGGGGCTTTCGGGCTGAATCCTCCCCCAAAATGGTAAAATGTGACCATGTTTTATGGTAAAAAATATGAAAAAAAATATGTCGTAAAGTATTATTGCTCGTTTAATTACATTTAATAGGGCTTCAAGAATCACTTAAACACCATTTCATATAGGTAGTTAGTATCTTTCTGTTTTTCCAATGTAATCATCGTTATACATATGAAAAAAAAAGCTTCCGGGCTGAAGCCCCCCCCCCCCAAAAAAATTAAATCCTGGATCCGCTAGTGCTTGTTAGTATTAGAAACGACTACATAGATTACCAATGACAGATACTATCTTGTCAAAACATACAAAGTAAACAAATTGAATGCAGTAAGAACTTTGTCACATTAGTAGTTCTGCTATTTCTTAATCAAACACAGAAATAGTTTCTCTTGGGCAGAAGACAGAGGGGAATCATAAGCACCGATAATCTTATTTTGCCACAAAATGTCAATTAGATTTTATCAATCCAACTTTATCAATCAAAGATAATATATACATTTCACTTGTTTATGATTATTATTTGTTTTGTTTTTTCCAAGCTTTGTTAATTCCTACTTGATATAATCGTTGTATTCAAACATAATCGATAGCCTTATCGAATTCAATGTGCAGTAATGCAAATCGATGATCTCGTTTTGTATTAAGATATGATAAGAAGTAAGTAAACCATGTAAAGTTTGTTTGATTATTTATCTTATGTTTTCAAAATGATTTTTTTTTAGAATACAATGAGCCAGAAGATAATACAATGTCAACTTTACAAGGTAAGCAGTATCACTTGATGCTTTAAGACTTGGGTTGCTTCCTTTAATATAAAATAAAATTTACATTAATTTCTTTTGTATTATTAACTTAACAGCTAATGAAACAGATAATTTGGAAAGTAGAATGGTGAAGTTGGAAGCTGAACATATTGATTCTACTCTAATTCAGTTTGGAGGTAATATTTTGTTAACCTTATCATTTGATTATTTTTATAAATTTTGTTGCTTATTTATTTTAATTCGTTTGATTGCCATAGATAGTCAAAATAGAGGATGAAGAATAATCCAATAATTGTTAGGGATTATGATTTCATTACCATTATTGCAATAATAAGTCAAATTGTCATTACATCATATTTTAAAATTAAACTACTGTCAATATGATTATATTCATAAAGTTTACAAAAAATAGATAAACGTACTAGTGCACAAATGCTGTGCCTGGAAGGTACTTGGGCCAAGATCATTTTGATCACACTCGTACCCGGAATGGCTTTGTTTGTCTGAAAGAGTAAGAATATGATCTACCTCCAGAATTCTATTTATTCATGATTCAAATAGGCATAATTTCTATTCATCACTTTGATGTAATGAATCATTTTGAAATTTTGTCTACTCTATGGGTCATTCTTATATAATTTGACCATTTAGCAATTCAGTTCACAAAAAATATCGTATTTTTGAAGAAACATTGATCTCAATTATTAGTACAATTGTCGACAAACTTATGCTTCGATTGTCGATTTTGTTAATATTAGTTTTTTTTTTAATTTTGAAATCGGAGTTTGCTCAGGGTGTTTCTCGAAGAAAGGGTTTTATAGAGTAAAATGAAGCTCTGCAACTGAAAGGATCAGTTTCCAGACATGTTTTATGTTCAGGAGAACAGGGTAAATAAAATGAGAACACCAAATAACAAGAATAAGCTCGTTGATTGGACTGGATATAAAGTGAGGATTTTCTTCAGAGATCAACAATTTTGAAGTGGAAATTTTTTACTTACGATCTTTTGCACAATCAGTAGAAGAGAGAAAGAACTACAATAATATCAACTGTGTTGAGTTGCTAAATCATACAGCATACTCAATCAATCAATTGATAATATTAAAACATATGCCAGGAACAGTATGCAGGATCGAATTAGTGAAAGTTAAGATCAATCAATATATGTGGTGACGGAGGATTCCCAACGAGTCTGATATAATAGTTTCTGCTATGGTCTTTTTATTTTCTTTTGGTCCTTCCCTTCCTTGCTTTTAAGGCTATACGGGTTTTCTTGGGCCAGAGAGTGAAGGCAGGAATTAATGCCATAGTTAAAAGACTCATCCAATACAAGAATGTGAACTCGGAACATTTTTTTTTTTTTTTTTTTTTTTTTTTTTTTTTTTTTTTTTTTTTTTTTTTTTTTTTGTTCTTCCCTACCTCGCCTTTTAGGCTATATGGGATTTTCCCGGGCCGGAGGGTGAGGGCAGGGAATTTAAAATCCCCTCCGGCACCGGGACGCGAACTCGTACTTTTTATATCATCTCAAATCTCTGTTATCCGGTTGCCAGGCAACTAGCGGTGCTGTGCACACGCTTTAGCCTATTCGGCTACCCCGCCCCCAAAAATATTTTATTTATTTAAAATATTTTTATTCGATCCTATGATCTATGCTTTACTAGTGTGGCGCGCTAACCATTCTGCTACACCGGTCCCTGTGAACTCGTAACTATTTTTATCGTTATCTTATATAGCAGGTTGCTGGGCAACGGTGGTGGTGTGCTTCTGTAAGAGTAAGAGGGATGGTTCCCCTGCTTCTGAGCCATAGCCCTTTAACTGTAAATTCTCTCTCGCCGAACTCGTCTCTATAATTTTCCTTCAAATAAAATATGCATTTCTTATAGATATCCTCCTTCTCTGCTTGCACCATGAAGTCTCAATTCTGATCGTTTGTTTTAAACCTGATCGTGGGATCCACTATTAGTGCCTCCTTTTCAGTCGCATTAAACGCTAAAATGTCGACAAACCTAGTTAAGCCTTCCGTATCCAGGTAATAAGCCTTGAGTAAACATCTCCATTGCTTCATTTCAAGAAATTCGGCTATTACATGTTTTATATCATTGTGCCAGTGGTTGACTAGTAGTATGTTGTTTGGACAATTGCCCAAATCATGAGCTGGAGTTTCTGACTCTCAGCCATATTTGCAGCAGAGGGGTCGAACATCTCCATTAGCCTGGCTTCTGGTTCCTGATACATAAGATTCAATTTCATGGTGTTTGGCCATTGGAGTTAGTGAGCACCTTTCTCTCATAAAGAAATTTATTGGCCCATGGGTTTGCTTTAAATATATACTTAATAGGCATGTTTTCACTAGTAAAGTGGATGGAACAAAAACTCCATTGGAAAAATTCAACTTTTTGTTTGTTCAGAGTTTATGAGACCAATATTTTCCTTCAGTCAGAACAAAACTAATTTAAGCTGGATTATAAAAATATGATTGAAGTTCACATAACTTTAATGATTAAGGAGGAAATTGGGACCACGGCCAGCTGGTTGATTTTCAATAGAAACAAAAACAATCACAAATAGGACTTTTGTTTTACAAACTCAGAGTAAAAATTATTTAAAATTTACAGAAATTTATATGAAATCTAAGTGAAGGCAGTAAGTGTCATGCCAGTAATGTTTTGAATTGACCAAAATGCAGTATAAATTAACTCTTCGAATAAAACCTAAAATTTTATAACACCATAAAAATATTGTATTAACCCAAGGTCTATAAAACTACCAGGTTCGCTCACTTGTAATGAGTGGTGCATTTATATCTTGGAACAATAATATAATAAAAAATATATAAAAATCCAACATTCTAAAAAAACTGTCTAATTGTTTTCTTATAAAAGAAAATATAGAAGAAATAACTCCAAATAAAATTGTAATGCTGCTCAACTGTGTTGAGTTGCTAACCGACACAGCATGCTAATCCAAGCATTCTAATCGAAGAAGAGCTAGGAAAGGCTTCCTTTCAACAATGGTTATTTATAAGAATCAAATTTTTAAATACCCAAAGTATATTACACCAATTAAGAAAACCTAAGGGCAAAGACAAAAAACTTGAGAAAAAAAATCACTTTGTAGGATTGCTTATGGCACAAAAATGTCATTACAAACATTCGTTAAGAGATAATGCTTCTTTAATTTTGGCTTAAATACTTCTTTTTTTTAATAGTTTTTTATTTTACATTATGTTTTATATATAAGTTTTACAATTTGAAATATTAAAAAAAAATGATTGTGGTATTTTGTTTGTCTTTATGAACAAAAAAACACATAACTGTCACTACACTGAGTTAAGGTGGCTCTTCCCCTCCTTCCGAAGACAATATTTTCTAGGTACGTTCCTCTACCAAATCATCAACAACCATCGTCCTTCTTACGCCTACAACCTTCTCCAGTTCAAATCCTCAGTCCATTCCCTGTCCACAAGATCTCGACCTTCTGACCTTTACATGCCTTCTCACAGATCTGCCTCATTCCAAAATTCCTTTATTGTTCGCTCTGTCAATTTCTGGAATTCCCTCCCTATCAAAATTCAACATTCCCCCTCCATATCCACATTCGAATCCCTCCTATTTCAATTCCTATCACAAAAACAGTCAGATACTTGCTAACCATTCGAGCGGATTTTAATAGAGAATTTGATACATTTTTATTTTTTAATTCTTTATTTTTTTCGGAAAAGTGTATACTGGTCTATAAGAGCAAATAGCTTTAAGTGTTTTGTCATAGTATTAATGGTTTTGTATATAGTTTAGTTTGTTTTGTATATAGAATTTTTACCTTATATTTTTTTTACATTATTTCTTTTTTTCGATTGATTTTATTTTGGCCAGATGTAATATTTTAATTTTGTTCTATTTTGTTATTCTCAAGGGACTGTGTCCCAGAATAAAGTTATTTTTCTATTTCTATTTCTAACTTGTTAAATTACATTATATTTGCTTGAGTATCAACAAAATAGCAAATAAATCATTCTCTCTCTTTTTAAATTTATTAATATCAATAAATTAATAAGTTGTTATACGTTAAAGTATTGATTTCATGTAGAAAGGTAATAATCTTAAAATATCCAGAAACAAGGACTGGAGAAGTAATATCCATCGAGTGGTTACCTCAGAGCTCGATTCCTCCCCACCATATTCTCTCTGAATGAGTGAACCTGGTAGTTTTACAGGCCTTGGTATTGACCCAAGATGCAACTGCACACCTTGTACCAGGCATTCTATAAGATTCCATTAATGGTTATGTTACTATGAAAAATTCAAGAAATATTAATAACTGTAACATAAAGACATGTTAGATTTTTTAGTAAAAATGAATGATTTTTACTCTCTCCTGTTTTTCAATTTTGTGGCTAATTTGACTGGACTATAATTCTATATTCATACACATGAGCAGTTTTGGTAAACTCTAGTTCTTTTATCAATTTTAAGGGGCATTAGCTCGCTCGGCCACCCTATCCCCTATCATAATAACTTTATATCATTCGATTTTTCCATAAAATTACTTTCACTTCACATCTACCCAAAGGGTAATAAGTGAAAATCATGTGATACATACATCACAACAGTCGTTTTTTTTTATGACATTAGAATAAATGTATATATTTTAAAATTAGCTAGTTTCATCTACATGTTAAGTTGTATCTTATGTTTTTAGATGAAGAGATTCAAGTGAAAAATGAAGAGCTTGATTTAGATTCAGGATTAATGGGGCTTACAGGTAATATAAGTCCCTTATATAAAATGATATGTAAAATTTTCTATGTATCTTATTTTTTTTTTAAAGGAACCTTCATGTTTGAGATACAATTTTTTATTGTACTTGAGAATGACTAACTCCAATTTCAATATTCTTTATTATTAATTTTAGTGAAGTTTCTAGTGGAAAAATTTATACCTTTATTGACAGTTCTATATTCCAACACTGCAATCACCTACTCTAGAATCAACTTACTGTCTGTATAGATATAACTTTTCCAACTAGGAATATCACTAAAATGACATTACTTAAAAATTTTGAAATTGCATTTAGTCATTAAGCTGAGAGATTGAAGTTATGTGGTTGGTTTGTAAAAGCAGATGGAGTAACTAGATTTTTATTGCGTACCCTCGATATAATAAATTGAGTTTTTGTAATTTTAATGGTCTTAATGATTTGTTATATGTAAGCTTTTTAGCTTTAGCTCCGTTTAAAATGGACTTAAAACATTTTATAGTTGCCTAATATTTCTAGAAAATAACTTCTATTCAAAGTAGAGCAGTAAGTGAAAGTTGTGTGTTGCATGCACCAGATTTTTTTTTAAATTGGAGACATTTTTTTCCCAACAAAAACACAATTGGCGAATAAATTAAAAACTTGTTAGTACGACTTAAATGAATCATTTATTGTCTAAAACTATATTTCAATCCTTTTGTTCATTTCTTTCTTTAATTATAATCTTATGAGTAACGATGTAAAAGGTAAGAGTATTACTTTTGAAATAGAGAACCTTTATTTAACGAAAATTAGAAAGAATAAAAAAAAACGTCTGCCAAGTAAGGTCAGTATAGCTTCCTCACTGTTTCATTGGCTAAAATATATCTATATTACAAGGTATACAATTTTTGATATGAGAATAAAATCTATGGAAGAAACCGATTCGGAAATACAGTTACCCTTTAACATTAGCGGGTTTGATAGCCACGAATTTCGTTTATCAGCTAACATTAAAATGTGAAAGAGTGCCATATTTAAAAATTCCATATTGATTATTCTCAAAAAAATACTAATGCATACTGAACATGCATTTCACTACTGATAGTGCAAAAGGTTGCATGTAAAAACTCATTATTTCTTTATGCTTTATTGGTCTAATTTCATATTTTATTGTCCTCTGCTATTTTCGATCGTAGCAGACTGCTTATATCAGTTGCATGCTACAAAATGTCTCCTTTAGCACAAACAGAATAAAAGTTGAAAATGTTTACATATGACCTTTTGCACTAATAGTAGTGATATATACTCAATAGGTACTTTTTCAGTTCGTAAAATGGATGGAACTAGAATGTTATAGGTAGCAATTCGAAAATTGTCCAGGCCTTGTCAAAATCAGTTCAGCTTTATTCTTACTGTTTTCTGTTATATTTTAGACTTAAAGGAGAAGCAGTATATCAGCCCACTTCTCCCGAGTCAGGTAGAGTAGCAGCCTGACTTACTCCCCCTTCCGGGGTGGCTACCTAGGGAAGGTGATCCTAGGCTGTGCACTGACTGTGGCCTTATGTTAGTATAAGTGATTTGTGTACTGTTCTGAGTGTGTTAGTGCTGTGTACTGAACTCGGGAACCGGGGGAACGTTAATCCCCACTAGCTTTGCACTAAGCTAGCCCCTGCGGGAGTCAAACAAAGACATGGAGAGATAGGATATAGAACGCCACCATACGGGCTAATCTCAATGTCAAACCTGTGGGGAACATTCTGGGGGAGCACAAGCTAAGGTGGTTTGGACATCTTCTTAGGATGGATCCAGATAGAAGCACCAGGAAGGCCTCGCATCTCCTGGGAGGACAGTGTTTTTTTTTTTTTTTTTTTTTTTTTTTTTTTTTTTTTTTTTTTTTTTTGTTTATTGATAAATATTACAATCTGTCTCCATAAAGGACATTTATAATAGAGTTCTGAGAGCACATTCACACCATATTTACAAATAAAAAAAATAAAAAAATAAAAAAAATAAGCTAACTTCAAATAATATAAAGCTACAAAAGAACAAAATAAAATATCATAGTGAGAAAAAAAAAATAAAAAAGTAATGAAAATAAACATCTTAGACGCAGGCATACCTATTGCACTATTTACAGTCGGCCATAGGAACTCCGAACCATACTTATCCCCCCACACGTGGAGAGAAAGCAAGGTTTTAGGAGATCCCTGCTCTTCTTCCTCAACCATTTCACTGGCATTGAAAGCCAGCGGAGATTGAGTAAGGGCGCTACAACCACGGACACTCATGACTTGAGTGGAGAATCTGGCCATTGCCAGAACTCCAGTATATGCATGTTACAAAAGGTCACGGGGCCACTGCCGTTTCAGCCTGCGAGGAGGATTGTAGGGATGAGTGGTGCTAGATAGGGATTGTGCTACAGGATTAGGGTGATGGGTAAGGTTCTGATGAAATTCGGAGAATTTGTCTGGGATAAGATCAAGAATAAATGGAATATTAAGGTCATTGTGCAGGGTTTTATTAGAGACATAAAAGGGAGCATCGACTATTGTACGGAGGACTTTGGACTGGAAGGATTGAATGCGTTTGATGTTAGAAAATTTGGTTGTCCCCCACAGTTCTAGTCCGTAGGTCCACATGGGTTTTAATATTGTCTTGTAGATCAGTAGTTTGTTTTCAATAGAAAGTTTAGATTTTCTCGGTCGTCGGTTAAGTTCCTGTCTTTTCAGTTTAGTATGCGGATTCCACGTTAGTCGTCTGTCTAGGAGAAAACCAAGGTACCGGACTGTATCGCAGAAGGGAAGCTGGATGGTATTAAAGTAAACTGGTGGACAGGAATTACGACGAAGGGTGAAGGTTATATGTTTACATTTGGATTCATTGACTTTGATGCGCCATTTCTTGCACCAGTGTTCAATCAAGGATAGGTGCCGTTGCAGGTTTTTGGAGTTTCAGGATCTGAGTTAGAAGATAGGATCGCAGTGTCATCAGCGAAAGTTGCCAGGAGTGTATCGGGATGGACGGGAATGTCAGTGGTATAGATGATGTAAAGGATGGGACCCAAGACGCTGCCTTGAGGAACTCCAGCCTCAATTGAATAACAGTCGGAAAATTCTGTACCACAGCGAACTCGAAAGGAGCGGTCGGAGAGGTAGGATTGGAGTATTAGGTATAAGGACTGTGGTAGATGAGATTTGAGCTTGAAGAGCAGTCCGGCGTGCCACACCCGGTCAAAAGCTTGCGCTATGTCCAGAAATGCACTCGAGCAAAACTGCTTGTTTTCTAGGGCTGAGGATATGTGGTCAACAACTCGGAGTCCTTGTTGGACGGTAGAATGTTGGGAACGGAATCCGAATTGATGGGTAGGGATTTTACGGGAGTCTATTAAGGGTAGGATTCTTTTCAGGAGGATCTTTTCAAAATTTTTTAAAAGAATTGAGAGTAGGCTAATTGGTCTATAGGATGATGTATTATTGGGAGGCTTGCCTGGTTTCAGGAAAAGGATGATGGTGGAATGTTTCCATAGGAGAGGGAAGTGGGTAGTTCGGAGGATACAATTGTATATATAGGTTAGAAATATGATGGCTTTGGATGGTAGTTGTTGTAGGATCTGCGGGGTTAGAAGGTCGTATCCAGGATATTTACGAGGAGTGATTTTGCGTAATAGGTATTTGACCTCAGAGGGATTAACTGCTTTAGGTGGTAAGGAGAGTGGGATACGTGAAGAAAGGAATTCTTCTACTTTTACTGTGTGGGTAGGATGAGATTCCGGATGAGGAGCGAAAGTATAGGAAAGGTGTTTCGTAAACTCCTCGGCTTTATCTTCATCAGATGCTGCCCAGGAGCCATCACCTCGTTGAAGAGGGTGGGAAATATGATGGGATTTGAGGATTTTTTTGGTGATATTCCAAAGGGAATTATCATGAGCAGAGAGTGTGGTGAGGTAGGAATTGAATGATTGGGATCTGAAGGTGGCTAATTCTTGTTTTAATTTTTTACAGTGATAATTGTAGGAGTGACGGTCGGCTGGATGTCTGGTACGTTGCCATAATAATCTGGCACGGCGTTTTATGTGGATTAGGTCAAGGAGGTGTTGAGGTAAATTATGTTTCTTAAGGATTTTTTAGGAGTGATCAGGGGAGGAAGCAGTCCAGACTGCTTCTTGAATTTTGGTAGTGAAGGAATGTACTGCATTGTCCAGGTCTTCGGGGGTTTTCAGGGTTACTCTGAGGTCAATTTTATCGGAGAGGATTTGATGAAAGAGTTTCCAGTTAACTGGGCCTCTGATGAAGGATGGTGGAGAGGGTTTAGGAATAGGAGCTAATGATACTTAAAATATTATTGGGCTGTGGTCTGAGGAAAGCTCATCAAGATGGGCAAGGGAATGGTGGAGGGTACCTAAACCTTTGTGGATAAAGAAATCGAGGATATCGGGATTACGGTTAGGGTCAGTGGGCCAGTAGGTAGGTGAATTGGGAGGAAGGAGGGTAAAACATAGGGAATTGAGTGCAGACAGCAATGTTCGACCACAAGAATTCGTGGTTCTTGAACCCCATTGTTGATGCTTGGCGTTTAAGTCTGCACCCAGGATGAAGTGATTTCCTAAGGAATTTAGGAGAGAGGTGAAGTGGACATTGGATATGGATCGGTTAGGAGGGCAATATGCTGATGCAGTGGTGACAGAAAAGGAAAAGGTTTTGATTACAACTGCAGTGGATTGTAGGAAATCATGATTAGGCAATGGGAGTATGTGATGAGAGAGGGATTGATGTACGATGACAGCAGTACCGTCATGTGCTCTACCGTCAGGGTGGTCTGTCCGATACGTTAAGTATTGTGGTATTTTCAAAAGCTGTTTTTTGGTCAGTCAAGTTTCTGTAATTAGGGCTACATCAATGTTCTTGTCTAATTGTAAGGCTGTTAGTTCATCTATGTGATTTCTAACACCATTCGCATTCCATAGGAGAATGGATATGGGTTTGATGAAAGTCATTTAAGGATTTTTTAAAGGAGGAATGAGATGAGATACCAGGTTTGTAAGAAGTGATATCAGTGGGGTGACAAGGGATTTAAATTCGGTAAGGAAGGATGTCAATAAACTAGTAAGATCTGTGGCATTGGACGGTGGGGGAATGTGAGGGATTTGATATTGGTTAGGTTGTTGAGGTTTAGGTAAATTAGGAGGGATATGATATTGAGGTAGGGATTGAGTTGGTTGTACCGGCAGGGTCTCACATTCATTAGTCGGGTCTCTACCTCCGAGTAACTTAGCAAAGGAAACTTTAGAGTCCACGATTTTAGCAGGTCCTCTTCTTTGTTTAGGTGTAGCATCGTGGTTCCGGGGCTTGTATGTAGCTTTGAGGTTTTTATAGATTTCACAACCTTTATAGTTGGCCGGATGACCCGCCAAGCATAGGGCGCAGACTGCAGGATCTTTTATTGGTTTGGTACATTCTCCAGATTTGTGTGATTCGCCGCACCTCACGCAGTGTGGCATGTGGTGGCAATATGACTTAGTGTGGCCGTATGCCTGACAATTGTGGCACTGGACGATTTCTTTTTTCGGATATGGTTTTTCAACCTTTACGATGGTATAGTATAATCGATGTATGTCGTATATTTTTTCCACCCCTGGTGTTGGCTCCAGATCCACAAAAAATAAGGGCAGTGGAATTTTAGTTTTTACTCCTGATTGGTCTCTATTTTCTTTCAGAACGTTTGTTATTTGGCGAACATTGAACCCTAACGCCGTTAGCTCATCCTTGATAACCTTAATATAATAAAAAAAACTTAAGGAAAATAAAACTTCGTCTGTGTGTCCTTGAACTCGGAGAAACAACGAGCACAGCTCCGTCCGTCTTCATCCAGAGCCACGACTGCTAGAGTGGGCAGTATCAGACGTAGCTATGACAGATAAGGCTAGCAATAAAGCACCTCGGACACTGGTTTCACTGTCTATAGAATACACAGTAAATATCAACACTACTCACTGTGGTATTAGTCCATTGTTGTTGCTGCTGTGTTGATCTCGGCGTTAATAGTTTTTGAGTAAAAAAAGTAAACTTTTTCCACTTAAAAAAAAGAGAAACTGTGAGAGACGATGTAAAAACGTGGCAATCAAATCAAGCGCATGCGCAGAACTGGGAGGACAATGTAAAGGAGGCATTCAAGAAGCGCGGAATTGATTGGAATAGGAGAATAGAGTTGGTGCAGGAGAGAGACAGCTGGGCCAGACTCTATAAGCAGGATCCTCACATCGAATGGCGGTATAAGAGGGAATGATTATGATGATGATGATGATATATCAAATAGATTTTTTCAAAGAATGGATTATAGAATATATTTATATTTATCTCGCTGTATTATTTTTCACTAATAAATGTTTCTAAACCACTCTTAACTTAAACCCTCTAAAACTGTCACAAGTGTTGTTGCTGCAATAACTAATTCAATGAGTTTCATATATTGGGTCTACTCCCACAGTAATTTATTGTTATAACTTTTTTTAATAAAAAGTATTTTCAATAATTTTTTTTATTACAGAAGGTGCTGCTCTGCTTTGTATGAACGTAAAGGATTGGAGAGGTGATTTAGAGGAACCTAGTAAGTTTACATCAGAACTTGATAATTAAATCATAAATGATGTAGAGATGGTTGACCATTGATATAATATGAGAAGGAGTTAATTGGGGGGTGCGGTCAAATAAATACTAAATTAAAATATAGTAAATTAAATAATTACTATATTTTAATTTAGTATGTATTTGACCGCACCCTCCAATTAACTCCTTCTCATATTAAATCATAAATGTTCAACTCTCATTTTTAAGATGTGATTTATTATACAGTTTGAACAAAATCCAGCTTATTATTATTATTTTAATATGTCTTGTTATTTATCAAATATATCATTTTCAGGACTGAGCTGGATTCAGAAGACAATAAAATGTGATTTTTGTAACTATTGGGCTGTTCCAAGTACTATGAAAATACACATCCGCAAACATACTGGAGAAAGGCCATATATCTGTCATCATTGTCAGTATAAATGTGCAAGTTTATCTGCTCTCCGTTGCCATATTCGAATTCATAATTCTGAAAAACCTTTTACATGTAAAAATTGCAATTTTAGTACTTTGTATCCAGCCTCTCTCAAATGTCATCAGGCCAAACACACTGGCAACAAACCTTACCAGTGTCCCTTTTGTGATTACAGAGCGGTTTTACCTGGTACTTTAAAAATCCATCTTAGAACTCACAGCGGTGAAAAATCTTATAATTGTATTTACTGCCCTTACAAAGCAGCTTATTTTTCAAGCTTAAAAGTTCACCTTAGGAAACATACTGGAGAGAAACCTCATATTTGCCAACTATGTGGGTACCAAACTGCTTATCAAAGCAGTTTAAAGATTCATTTAAGATCACATACTGGAGAACGTCCTCATACTTGTCCTCACTGTCCTTATGCTACAGGTGACTTGAGCTCATTAAAAAAGCATTTACTGATACATTCTGGAGAAAAACAATTTAAGTGTACTCTATGTGATTTTCGGGCTACTCGAAGAGCAAATATCAGAGTTCATATGTATTCTCATACTAAAGAAAAAAAATACTCATGCTCTCAATGTCCATACCGTACTGCTTATTCTGGCAGTCTGAAAGTTCACATTTTAACACATGGTGAAAAATCATTCAAGTGCTCTTTCTGTGATCATAAAAGTTCCCACCTTCAAGGTCTTAAGTTACATATGCGTACTCATACAGGAGAAAAACCTTATGGTTGTATGCTTTGTGAATATAGATCAATATCAAGAAATAATCTCAAAATTCATATGCTTGGTCATGAAGGTGTGAAGCCTTTTGCTTGTGAATATTGTCCATTTAAAACTGCTAGGAGTGGACATTTGAAAAGACATTTATTAATTCATACTAAAGAAAAAGTTTTATCTTGTCCTTTTTGTGATTTTTCTACTACACAGATGTCTAACTTAAAAGCTCATACATGGACTCACAATAAACAGAAACCCTTTAAATGTGATCAATGTGAATATACTGCCACAAGGAAGGATAGTCTCATGGTACACCAAACTAAGCACAAAGGTATTAAACCTTATTCGTGCCCCATGTGTGATCATAAAACTGCTGATTATCGTTGTTTACGAGTACATTTAAAAGTTCATTCTGAAGTAAGGCCTTTTCAGTGCCCTGATTGCTCATTTACAACAAAAAGGATAGGAATTCTGAAAAGGCACAGGCTTATTCATACAGGAGAAAAGCCTTATGCTTGTTCTAAATGCAAATTTAAAAGCTGTAGACAAGAGAACTTAAAGAACCACCTTAAAACTCATACCAAAAAGAGGAGGAAAAAGTGTCCGTTTTGTGATGAAAGATATCTTCGTCTTCAATCTCATCTAACTAAAGTCCACTATGAATTCTTATTAAAATGTTACCACTGTTCATATCTAACTTTCGATTTGTTCATTTTGAAAAGGCACATTAAGAAACACATTAAACATTTTCTAGTCAATAACAACTTCAGTATGTTAAGTTAGAAGTATTAGGTTAAATTTTAAATATTTATATTTTATTTGTTATTTTTGACAAATCCTGTCCCTTTACCTGCAAAGAAATATTTTTGTAATTCATAAGAACATTTTTTTAATATGTTGATTATATATTTTTATTTGTAAACTCATGTTTACAGGTTTATGTTACTATTTTTTTATTTTTGTTTCCTGTTGGTTATAAATTTATTTGTGTTAAAGAAATTAAATTTTATTTTGTTGTAAAGGTATTTCATTTTATATATATATATAAACATAAACTTCCAAAAGTAATAATTTTTGATTTTACAAGAAATAAATATAACTAAAAATTTTAAAAGCCTGATGTTTCTTTATTTAGTATTAACATAGTATTGCTGTTTATTGTCCTTATGCACAACAACTAAGGTAGGAAGGACAGGTCATCCTAAAAGAAATTAATCTGTTCCTACCAAATGAGAGGTTAAAATTTATTTTCTGAATCTGCCATGAAATGAACGGTAAGCCAGCCATGTGAGATTCGCTCCAGTTCCCTGATGTCATCCCAAACCACTTAGTCGCTGAGTTTTAATCAGATGGGGCACAAGAAATTTAAAAAAAAATCAATTTTTTTTTTTAAACAAATTTTGGAATGTAAAAGAGGAGACAGGAAACATATACAACTGGAATCATGGGGGAGGGCAAACTTGAAGTTGGTTCTGAATGATAGTTGAACTAGCTAGATCACTGCTTATTCACTATTATTTATTTCATCCTGTAAACAAAGATATCTGCTGCAATCATTGAGATATGAGGTATTCGAAAAGCTTCGGAATATGTGCAATGTTAATTCACTGATCACCTAAGTTTTAGTGATGCAATGCAATAGTAATGATGGCAGCCAAACTTTTTTTAATTTTACTTGCCTATTTATGGAAAGGGACAGTATTGCAATTGTGAAAATTTTTTAATCTGAGTTCAACTGAAATACATGTTTTGAGGTCTCCTGTGTCGAAATAACCAAGTCCCACAAAATGGTCTTTATGTGTGTGTGTATGTATGTGACCAGTCTAGCTCGAAAGTGAAATAGCATATTTAAATTTTGTATGTACCTGAGATGTTACAGCAACTTTTTCGTCAAAATCTGCTAACCGGAAGTGGCACTTTATAAAATGGACGTTAAACATTTTTTACGATTTTCTTGAAAACAGCTCTTAACAATTTTGATCTAACTCTCATATAAATCCTGTTATCCTATGGAGAACTTTTCTTTTGAATCTCTCAATTCTGGCTTCTTGTGTGCCGGTTTCACAACTGTACAGCAGAAATGGCTTAATCACGGCGTTGTACACTCTTATTTTTAGATTTCAATACCCTTGAAATAGAGAAGAAAGATCTGCTCTTACTTGTTATTCGCTGGTCTATCTCTGTTAGTTGATCATTTATTGAGGTTATTGTTGAGCCGAGGTATTTGAAACTGTCTACTTTAGGAAATGACTTGGAAATGAGTGAATGGAAAATGACTAGGAAATGAGTCCACGCAGATCATGTTATTAGGGTGGATGCTGTGGCTAATTATCATGCATTTGGTTTTATCTACATTGACTTATAGTCCGATTTGCTCTGCTTCTTTTAACAGAGTCCGAGTGAGTCTCTCACTGAATATCTTCTTCATTATTTCCGAGGACAGCTATATCATCCGCATATGCTAGGATTTTGTGTTTCATTCCGGCGTGCACCCCTCCATTTTCGCGTGATGTTATTACTTTCTCAAGGGCTAAGTTGAACAGAACAGAATCGGCGAGATTCCATCTCCCTGCCTCAAACCCGTTCGAACTTCAAAGGCTTCAGATACTTCTCCTTGTATTAGTACCCTGCATTTAGGATCATTTGTACGCGCCTTCATCAACTTCACTAACTTACCTAGAACACTAGCTCAGTCATGATCTTCCAGAGACAGTTTCTGTCCACAGAGTCATAGGCTGTTTTGAAGTCGACAAATAAGACGTGCACGTCCTGGTCTACTTTCCGTCATTTTTCAAGTACATGTTTTAGGATGAATATCTGATCTAGCGTACTCCTCCCTCTTCTGAATCCTGTTTGATGGTCACCTATTGTGTTTTCATAATACGGATATATCCGATGTAGCAGAATATTAGTCATTATTTTATTGGCAACCGGACGAAGTGTTATGCCTCTGTTATTGCCACATTCGTACATGGAGCCCTTCTTAAGGATAGTACAGATCAACCCTGTGTTCCAGGCTTCTGGTATCCGTTCATTCTCCCATATCTTCTGAATTAGATCTAGCAGCTTGTCTCTGAGGTTTTCTCTCCCATCCTTGAACAATTCTGATGGTAGGTTGTCTATCCCTGGAGACTTACTTCTTTTAAACCTGCTGATAGCTATTTTCACATCCAGAATATCTGATTTTTCAACCTCAAGTGGGTCGATGTCCTCAGTGTGGTCCATGTCTTCTGTGGGGTGCCCTTGATTAAGCAGCTGCTGGAAGTGTTCCTTCCAGATGCCTAGGATCTTTTCTTTTAATGCCGTCAATTTGCCATCTTTCCCTGTCATTTGTGTACTTCTCGCTTTATATCCTACCCTTTCTTTTTTGATATCTGCGAAGAATTACTAGCTCCAGCCACTATAAAAATATTCCTACCTCTAGCACTTCCAGTCTGTTAACCAAGCCACCCCTCCTTCTCCCATGACTAATATCCTTTTAACATGCCACGTCAACGCTTAGTCACTCCTAGCTCATTTTGATGAATTTTATGATTTTTTCCTCCACAACTTCTACCATTTAATTGCAGTTTCTGAAACCTGGTTAAAGCCCTCTATTCCGTCTTCCCAAATTAGTTTACCCAATTATACCCTCCTTCATCATGACAGAGAGGATCGTGCAGGTGGTGGAGTGGGCCTCTTGGTCCATGACAGCCTTTTTTTTTTTTTTTTTTTTTTTTATTGGTGACATTTACAACTGTATTACAAGTAAAAATACATTCAGTAAATGTGAACAAAGGAATAAAATAGCATGAAATCACATGTTGAGAAACTACCCATTGGTAGCACTCTAAAAATGTATTTACAAAAGGAGATCTCGAGGCCATCTTCTTTTCAGACGCCTCTGAGGGTTGTCAGGGATCGAAGAGGAAGCAAGGTTAGAAACGAGAGGGTTTGGATGGTTCTGAAGTTTGTTATGGAAGGATAGGTATCTGGATTGGGCCAAGTCAGAAACATAAGGAACATTAAGGTCGTTATGGATGATTTTGTTTGTGACAAAGTAAGGAGCAGTGAGGATTTTACGAAGGATTTTGGATTGTAAGGATTGAATACGAGAGGAATTCGATGGCTTAGTGGAGCCCCAGAGCTCAACTCCGTAAGTCCAAATAGGTCTTATTGTAGTCATGTATATGAGTCTTTTGTAATTGACTGGGAGGTTAGAGCGTTTATCTAGTAAGTGCTGGAGTAGTCGGAAACGTCGAGCTGTTTCTTGTCGTTTCAGTCTGGTATGAGGATTCCAAGTTAGACGTTTGTCTAAGTGGAGTCCAAGGTATCGAATTTGTTCAACAGGAATAAGTGGGGTATTATTAAAGGATACTGTAGGACAAGAGGACATAGGTTTACGACGAAGGGTAAAGGTGATTTGATGGGATTTATTGGAATTTATTTTTATTCTCCAGTTTTGACACCATTCTTCAAGGTTTGTGATGTGTGATTGAAGGGTTTGGGATGCAATTGTTGGGTCGTTATTAACTGATAGGACACATGTATCATCGGCGTACGTGGTAATGACTGTGTTAGGATGGGTTGGGATATCAGCTGTATAAACTGTGTAAAGGATAGGACCTAGGATACTACCTTGAGGAACACCAGCGGACTGGGAAAAAAGGGATGAATAGGCATTATTATGATTTACTTTGAAGGATCTATCAGTAAGATAGGAACGGATAATGAGGAAGTATGTAGGGTGTAGGAATTTACGGAGTTTGTAAAGCAGTCCTGGGTGCCAGACTCGATCAAAAGCCTGTTCTACATCGAGAAAGACTCCCGTGCAGTACATTCCGCGCTCCAATGCAGAGGAGACAACATCCACCACACGATGGCATTGCTGGATAGTGGAATGGGATCTGCGGAATCCAAATTGATGATCTGGGATAATGTGATTAGAATCTAGGATGGGGTACAGGCGTTTTAGGATGAGCTTTTCCAGGATTTTGCCTAGGATGGGTAAAAGGGAGATAGGGCGATAAGAGGATGGGTTTTCTGGTGGCTTTTTGGGTTTATGTATCATTTTGATAATAGAGAATTTCCAAGGGTCAGGAAAGTATGTTGATCGCAGTACAGCATTATATATATAAGTAAGGAATAGAATGGCTTTCCGAGGAAGGAGTTTTAGGATCTGGGATGTAATTAGGTCGTGTCCAGGAGCTTTTCGGGAAGGTAACCTTTGAATGATGTCGGATATTTCTGAAGGATGAAAGGCTTTAGGTGGAAGAGACATTTGGAGTGGGATATCCAGTTCTGCTTCAATACATTCAAGGTGATTTGGGTTAAGAATATCGGGGTGTGGATTAAAGGTTTTAAAGAGGTGACGAGCAAAGATTTGTGATTTTTCTTCATCGGATTTGGACCAGGTTTGAGCTTCAGTAAGAAGCGGATGATTACAGTCTTTAAATTTCAGGAGCCTTTTAGTGGTCGTCCATAGTGATTTGTCGGTAGGTGTAAGTTTTTCAGTAAAATTTAGTAAATTTTGAATTTTGTATTTTTTAATTTCAGATTTTAGTTTGTTAGTCAGTTGGGTATAATGAGTTTTATCTGTTGGATATCTGGTTCTATGCCACTTCGATCTTGCTCTGCGTTTTTCCTTCAATAAGATACGAATATGCTGTGGCAAGTCAGTCTTTTGTGAATTGTTAAACTTATTGATAAAAGTATTATTATTTATACTGTCTGTTATTGACGCTGTCAGTTTTTCAATGGCACCATTAATGTCGTCTTTTGTCTTTAGCGGAATTTTTAAGTCTAGTTTGTTTTTCAAATCATCACGAAATTCGTCCCAGTTTACTCGTCCTGTAATCAATTTAGGAGTTGATGGTTTAGGAGCATAGCTCGAATGTAGTGAAA